GGGGGGGTTGGAAAATTATATTGTCGAATGCAGTCCACTGACTGCATAAAAGAAATAAAGACCACCAACCCACTGATTTATTATTATAGGCCTACATGAACGCACACATTTCACAAAAGATAAAGACAAAAATCGTATCATAATCTATTTAGCAGAAATTAACGAGATTAAGTAATACTGTAATGAAACTGTTATATTGCCCCAAGTGCGCGCACCATCTGATTCTTTAAACCAAGCAGCAAACAAACAAACACCATACAACCAAAAACAGAAAAAAAGCTTTGTGAAACTAGAAAACTGGCGTTCAGCTGTCAAGATACCATGGAATCTATAGCTGCATATTCAATTTAGATTTCAGAGTTCAATAAAACAATTAAATTCTTTTCTTGACCAAGTCCTGATCAAGCTACAAGCGCATCTTTCAAGTTATTTTCTTTATTTAACTCATGTGGTGGCATGGTAGACGGCCAGGCGACTTAACCTCTCGGGCCGGATTTGGCCTGCTGGCGATATATTAGTGAATCCTGCATTAATTATAAAATGTACCAAGCGGAACTCCAACAATAAATACGATAGATCTATGTAGGGATCAGTTGACCACTCAATAAAACCCGCTAATTTTGTTCTTTTCTGTACTTAGCACAAGACTCTCCCGGACATAGTTTTTGCGCTTTTTTTTCTTGTGTCCGTTCACGTGTAATAATGGACTCTCAGCTGTTCGATGTCCTGTTTTTGTGACCCCCAGCCATCAAGTGGATACATCCGTGCGGGGGCGAGGGCTTTTTTCCTTTACTGGAGCAACCTTTTGTCACGTGGTGGTGAGCCGGTGTCAACTTTAAGTGGTTTATACTATTGTAATTAAGCTATGGCCCGCAAAGACGAGGATGGATATTTGATGATTTTCTTCACACGGGATCACGGGTCGAGGGCTCTTCTTTGAGACCTGCTCTTGGGTTTCTCCCCCTTTTCGAATCCGTTTTTCTTTTCGGGAAAACTGTTGTAGGCTACTGTCTCGTTACATGAAAGAAAAAAAAACCCAAGCAATTTAATTGCATACTCGTCTTTAAAAAAAAAATAAACAACAGAAATATATAAATAGTATACAGGGCAGAACATGATGAGTCGACACAAAGATTAATGTATAAAAGGACGCTGAAATCCAGTTATTTTGTATATCTTAAAAACATGTTGAAAATATCTAATCATAGTTCACTGTGATATGATCAGTCTATGTATCGTAAAACCTTCTCAGGACATACTTAAAACATAGCGACTGTTTCGTATAGTCTTTTCATAACCTGCTGAAATTTGATTAATTTGAATCTTTACCCTTGGCGTGCAAAGAAAATCCGAGAATGACTGGTGAAGCAGTGCAGCCACATGCGTGAGTAACTTCAAAAGATCTCTAGGAAGGAAATTCGAAAATTGAATGGTTTATTGATAACCGGTATTTTTTAAGGTGTCGGATGGGGTTGGCCGGAAGGGAGGGGGGTCGGGGTCCGTGATGCACTTTTCAACCCTGTTCTCAAAATTTGGGGCTAACTGTGGTTTCTCTTGAGGGGCGTTTAACTCTTTTAAAAAAATGATTATTTAATCGTTTACCACGCCCATCGACAAAAATATTTTGAGGTTTACGCCAGAGTCACGAGTGGTTGGAGGGCGCCACTGGTAGGTTCTACTTCTTTACTTTTAGTCTGCGGTGCAGTGTCTATCTATTTGTCTTACTTTTTAACCAGCGCTAAATGACCGTTATTGTGTTGGTGTGCTTCTCTTTAATTTACTCAAACACACAAACGAACAAAACAAACAAACTCCCGTGAGTGGCTGGCGGGTGCTCTGGTGTGGTTTGTTCCTTCTTTTTATAAAACATCTGTCTTCCTGATCTCGCCTCCTTCTTTATTGTGTTTGTTACTCTCTTGTAACATCGCTACTAATCTTCGGTACTTAAAATTAAATGACCTTATTGTGTTGCAAGTGCCGTGGAACTCTTTCTAAAATCTAAAACAAAACACCAGTGTCCCTTTGCCTTTATTGTGGGACTTAAGCGTTATCTAAACGCCATCAGAGTATCTCTGTTTGGAAAAGTTGCAAACTTGTTCTTCTTCCTTCATGTATTATTTAATTGTAATCTTCTGTAAATGGGCTCACCATTATCTTTGCTGGTATCAATTTGAAAATCTTTTCTGATCATCCTGGTTCGATTTCTGAATGTAATGTTCTTGAACTTGTATCGCATGAGGAACTTAATGGGGGGTATTAATCAATACATGTATCATCCATTTGTGTCTTTAAATTTCTAGACATCTGCGCGGGAGAACGCACGCGCACGTACGTGTGTGTATGTGTGTGTGTGTGTGTGTGTGTGTGTGTGTGTGTGTGTGTGTGTGTGTGT